TCTCTCTCTCTCTCTCTCTCTCTCTCTCTCTCTCTCAACATAAGTTCAATTACAGGCGAGACAATTGAAGTGCACTGTTATGTGGCAAACAAATCGACAGTCGCAGTGACCCCCAGAGCTACTCTATACCAGACCCGTGTCTACCAGTGCGGAAAATGCCATAAAGCTGTGGACCGAGTGCTAACTGAGCACATAATTGGCAATAAGATGGCCAGTAATGCAGGCAATAAGGATACTATACACATACCGATACCCAAAAGCGCCTCACTGTCCATCAAAAGTGATGTCATAAGTGTTAAATACGTGGTCCATGTGACCCTGGACATTCCACACGCTGTGGACCTGAGTATTAATCTACCGATTATTGTCACGACTCAGTCTGCTTTAGACCGCAATTTGGGTTAATGTTCGTACACTTCAAATATATCCTTGGATATTTTTATATTATTATATCATGGATGTTTGTTAAATGTTAAACTGATGTATTGGAGCGAGAAATAAAATCACATTTATTATTAACAACTTGAAAAATATAATTTATTCAAAAATTAATTACATTAAAAATGATTAGGGTTAATTAAGTAAAGGTGATCCCTACATCAAACCCCACCAGATTAGCGCCGGTAATAAAATGAGCATCAATTGAGGCCAAGAATGACACTCCTTTGGCAACATCCAGGGGCTGACCAATACGGTGAAGCGGAGTGGACTCAATCAACTGGGAAAGCCTATCAGGGTTTATAAATGGTACCAGCTCATCGGTCAATATATAGCCAGGACTTTGAAAAAGACAAAAAATAACTATTAAACTATAAAATATGATTTAATGCTTACTTAATAGCATTCACTCTAATCCTTGGACCCAATTACCCTGATAATTAATATATTAGTTAGCTGTTAATTTGGTATAAGTAGAGTTGATAGCATACAGGTCTGAGTGAAGCTATACTGGATGTGGTAATAATAGTGCCGTTTGATTGGTCCAGGTATGGGAGGGCCAGTTGTATGAGTTGCAGTCCGGAGCGAACATTGATTTTAAAAACATTGTCAAAAATTGGTGATGAAATCCTTGTCCCTGATTGTAGCCATGACTCCAATGCCAGGGTTATTGACCAAAACGTCTAACTTTCGGAACCTCTTAATCGTAGAACTCATGAGTTTTTCCAAGTCTTTAGTTTTGGTCACATCTGCCACCACTTCCAATGTCTATCAAAAAAAAACACTTTAAATGCTTGTATTTTAATTAGCTATGAATACATACTTTGAGTCCTTTTGGTGATAATCGCAGCACTTCTTGCGATACTTTCCTAATCTCAGTCTCTTTCCTACCGGTGATCACCACCTGAGCGCCTAATAGAGCGAACAGTTTAACAATAGCCTCACCGATGCCTGAGTTGGATCCGGTCATCAAAACTACTTTTCCCGTAAAATCTCGCGAATTTCTCGCTTCAAAATAATCTTTGTATTTATTCTCTCTCTCTCTCTCTCTCTCTC